GAGCGGCGCCGACGAGGGCCGGGAGAGCGCGCCCAGGACGCCCGAGGCGCCCCGGGAGCTGGGTACGGCGACCTCCGCGCCGGGGCCTCCGCGGAGGCGGCCTCGTCACCTCCCCGGTGCTCAGGGCCGTATGTCCCCCCGCAGGCGACCCGCTGAAGGTGCCGGGGCTGGAGCCCCCCGCGCCGCCCTTGCTCAGCCGCTGCATCTCCATGCCCGTGGATATCTCCGGTGGGTTCGGAGCCGGATGGGTCCCCCGGGATGCTCATCCCGCTCTGCCGTGTCCCCGCCAACGCYTCCCGTTGTTGTCCCCGCGCAGGCATCCAGAAAGGGCCCCGCTCCGACTTCGACATGGCCTACGAGCGCGGGCGCATCTCGGTGTCGCTGCAGGAGGACGGCGCCGGCGGCCTCGCCTCCTTCTCCAGGGTGAGGCGCCGAGGTCTCCCCGAATCTGCCCCGGGGTGGGGGGGACCCCCCGGGGGCACCCTGTCCCCCACGAGAGGCTGTTGGCGACGTCCTCAGGCCAGGGACGTCCTTGGTCCCCTTGGCCAGAGCGCGTCGATCCGGGTCTTTCCCGTTAACCGGAGCCGTCCTTGTGCGGCGGAGGGAACCATTCCCACCGTTAGGCTCTTGATGGCCTTCGGGACGCCCCGTTGGGGTGGCCCGGTGGCCGGAGCTGCGCCGTTGTCCCCTGCGCAGTCCATCTCCCACGAGCCCAAGGAGCGCAAGTCGGTGACGGTGGAGGAGCAGCCGTCGGGCGTCTACCACTACAACGGCGGCGAGGACGAGCCCATGAGCGGGGACAGTCCCTTCGGGCCCTGCCCGGGCCGCCAGGGCAGCGGCGTCTTCGAGGCGGCCAAGCGGGAGCTCGTGAAGCTCATGAAGGTGGAGGTGAGGACGGGGAGGCCGCCGCCGGCGGGTCCGCGGCGCCGCCGGCGTCACCGTCCTCCCCGCAGGACCCGTCGCTGCTCAACAACCGCGTGCTGCTCCATCACGCCAAGGCCGGCACCGTCATCGCCCGCCAAGGGGACCAGGTGGGTCTGGGGGCTCCCATTCCTGGGCCTCCCATTCCTGAGCCTCCCGCTCCGTGGCTCGTGAATCGGCATCCCGGCGCACGCGGAGCACCGGCAGAGAGCAGCGGGATAAAAACCCCGGGGACGGCGGCGGCCTCCGAGGACTCTGCGCTGACGGTGGCCTCCCCGTCAGGACGTGAGCCTCCACTTCGTGCTCTGGGGCTGCCTCCACGTGTACCAGCGGATGATCGACAAGGCGGAGGACGTGTGCCTCTTCCTGACGCAGCCCGGCGAGATGGTGGGCCAGCTGGCCGTGCTCACCGGCGAGCCCCTCATCTTCACCATCAAGGCCAACCGCGACTGCACCTTCCTCAAGATCTCCAAGTCGGACTTCTACGAGTGGGTAGCGAGGCCGCTCGCCGGGGAGGCTCCCCGAAAGGGGCCCCTTTTTTTGGTCCTGGGGGGCCACCTCACTGCGCCCCCGTCGCCAGGATCATGCGGGAGCAGCCCAGCGTGGTGCTGAGCGTCGCCCACACCGTGGCCGCCCGCATGTCGCCCTTCGTGCGCCAGATGGACTTCGCCATCGACTGGATGGCGGTGGAGGCCGGGCGGGCGCTCTACAGGTGGGTGGCACAAGGTGGCCTCGCCCCGCCATGATTTTGGAGGCCTTTTTTTTGGCATTATTTTGGGTTTTTCTCCCCGCAGGCAGGGCGACAAGTCGGACTGCACCTACATCGCGCTCAACGGGCGCCTGCGCTCCGTCATCCAGAAGGGCAGCGGCAAGAAGGAGCTCATCGGCGAGTACGGCCGCGGGGACCTCATCGGCGTGGTGAGTGGCCACCAAGAGCTGGCCCCGTCCCCCTCTGTGGCGTCGGGAGGTCCCCACTCTACTCGTCCCATGTCCTCCTGCAGGTGGAAGCACTCACGCGGCAGCCGCGGGCCACCACGGTCCACGCGGTGAGGGACACGGAGCTGGCCAAGCTGCCCGAGGGCACCTTGAACAACATCAAGCGCAGATACCCCCAGGTACCGGGTGGGAAGGCTGAGCTTCTTCCCCGGAAATCCGCTCCGGTTTGGGCAAACTGGGAGCCTCCAAAATCTGCCACAAGATTCGGAGACCTTCCAAGGCTGGAGATCCTTGGCTCTGCTCCTGCAGCCTCTTTCTGGAAGCTCTTCCAGTTCCTGCTTGTGGCTTCAAGCCGTGCTCAAAAGCAGCTTGAATTAAAGCCTGTCCCTGTCCTCGTCCCTGCAGGTTGTCACCCGCCTCATCCACCTGCTGAGCCAGAAGATCCTGGGAAACCTGCAGCAGCTCCGGGGCCCCTTCGCAGGTGGGACCTGAAAGGCTCCATATGGACATGGGTTGTTTCCTCACCTCTCTCAGTCCCTGTAAAGGGCAGGATGTCCCCAATCATGTGTCACCAGCGTCTGTGTCCTTGCAGGCTCCAGCTTGGGCATGGCCTCCAGCTCGGAGCCCACCAACCCCACCAGCAACCTGTCAACAGTGGCAGTGCTGCCCGTGTGCGACGACGTGCCCATGGCTGCCTTCACCTTGGAGCTCAAGCACGCGCTCAATGCCATCGGTGAGTGCCAACCTGTGGTGACCAACCCATGGCATGGTGGTGACCATGGTGGTGGCCATGACATGGTGCTCACTACAGTTCTATGGTAGTGGCCATGACCTCATGGTAATCACAGTGGTGACCGTGACCATGGTGGTGGCCATGACGTGGTGCTCGCCACAGTTCCATGATAATGGCCATGACCTCATGGTAACCACAGTGGTGATCATGGCATGATGGTGACCATGGTGGTGGCCATGACACGGTGCTCACCACAGTCCCATGATAGTGGCCATGACCTCATAACCAAAGTGGTGACCATGGCATGATGGTGATCACCATGATGATCACCGTGACATAGTGCTCACTACAGTTCCACAGTAGTGGCCATGACCTCATAACCACGGTGTTGATCTTGACATGATGGTGACTATGGTGGTGGCCATGACATGGTGCTCGCCACAGTTTCATGATAGTGGCTATAACCTTGTGGTAATCATGGTGGTGACCATGGCAGGATGGTGACCACGGTGGTGACCATGACTAGTGGTGACCACATTGGTGACCATGGCATGATGGTGACCATGGCAGTGGCCATGACATGGTGCTCACCACAGTTCTATGGTAGTGGCCATGACCTCCTTGTAACCACAGTGGTGACCACATTGGTGGCTATGGCATGGTGGTGACCATGGTGTTGACCATGACATGGTGCTTACCACAGTTCCATGGTAGTGTCCATGATCTCATGGTAATCATGGTGGTGACCATAGCATGATGGTGACCACAGTAGGGACCGTGACTGGTGGTGACCGCGTTGGTGACCATGGCATGGTGGTCACCATGGTAGTGGCCATGACATGGTGCTCACCACAGTTCCATGATAGTGGCCATGACCTCCTTGTAACCATGGTGGTGACCATGGTGGTGACCACGGCACGGTGCTCACTACAATTCCATGGTAGTAGCCTTTATCTCATGGTAACTGTGGTGGTGACCATGACATGGTGGTGACCACAGTGGTGACCATGACTAGTGGGGACCACATTGGTGACAATGGCATGGTGGTGACCACAACCCCAACCCCTGCAGGTCCCACCCTGCTCCTCACCAGCGATATCATCCGTGCCCGGCTCGGCTCATCAGCACTGGACAGGTACAAAAGAGCAGCGGGAGTGCGAGGACACGCGTCACCATGGGGGGGACAAGCTGTGACAACGGCCGGTGACGTCCCCACGCCCGCAGCATCCACGAGTACCGCCTGTCGGGCTGGCTGGCCCAACAAGAAGACATCCACCGCATCGTGCTCTACCAAACCGACTGCACCCTGACGCCCTGGACCGTGCGCTGCATCCGGCAGGCCGACTGCATCCTCATCGTGGGGCTGGGAGAGCAGGAGCCGGCGCTGGGCGAGGTGAGCGGCGGGGACACCGCGGTGGGGACACCACGGTGGGGACACCACGATGGTGACGCCCACGCCGCGGGCAGCTGGAGCAGATGCTGGAGAACACGGCGGTGCGGGCRCTGAAGCAGCTGGTGCTGCTGCACCGCGAGGACGGCGCCAGCCCCTGCCGCACCGTCGAGTGGCTCAACATGCGCAGCTGGTGCTCGGGCCACCTGCACCTCAGGTGTCCCCGGCGCGTCTTCTCCCGCCGCAGCCCCACCAAGCTGGTACGTGGCCGGCTCCGCGTGGAGCCACCATCCGGGGAGGTCCGGTCCCCAAAGCTACTGGTCCCCAAAGCCACCAGTCCCCAGAGCCACCGGTTCCTGGAGCTGCCAGTCCCCAAAGCCACCAGTCCCCAAAGCCACCGGTTCCTGGAGCCACCAGTTCCTGGAKCTACRAGTCCTCAAAGCCACAGGTCCCCAAAGCCACCAGTTCCTGGAGCCACTGGTCCCTAAAGCCACTGGTTCCCAGAGCCATCAGTCCCCAAAGCTACTGGTTCCTGGAGCTACTAGTCCCCAAAGCCACCAGTTCCTGGAGCCACCTGTCCCCAAAGCCAATGGTCCCCAAAGTCACTGGTTCCTGGAGCCACTGGTCCCTAAAGCCACTGGTTCCCAGAGCCATCAGTCCCCAAAGCTACTGGTTCCTGGAGCTACTAGTCCCCAAAGCCACCAGTTCCTGGAGCCACCTGTCCCCAAAGCCAATGGTCCCCAAAGTCACTGGTTCCTGGAGCCACCAGTCTCCAAAGCCACTGGTTCCCAGAGCCATCTGTCCCCAAAATAAACGGTTCCTGGAGCCACCAGTCTTCAAAGCCACCAATTTCTGGAGCCACCGGTCCCCAATGCCACTGGTTCCTGGAGCTGCTGGTCCCCAGAGCCACCAGTCCCCAGAGCCGCTGTCCCCTCCACAGAGAGAGATGTACGAGAAGGTGTTTGAGAAGAACGCCGACCGGCACAGCGACTTCTCCCGCCTGGCGCGGGTGCTCACGGGCAACACCATCGCCCTCGTGCTGGGTGGTGGCGGTGCCAGGTGGGTCTCCCCGTCCCCTCAACCGCACCCTGTCCTGGCCACCAAAGCCACCAGTCCCCAGAGCCACCAGTTCCTGGAGCCACCAGTGTCTGGAGCCACCGGTCTCCAAAACCACCAGTCCCCAAAGCCACTGGTTCCCAAAGCCACTGGTCCCCAAAGCCACCAGTGTCTGGAGCCACCAGTCTCCAAAGCCACTGGTCCCCAAAACCACCAGTCCCCAGAGCCACCGGTTCCTGGAGCCGCCAGTCCCCAAAGCCACTGGTCCCCAAAGCCACCAGTTCCTGGAGCCACCAGTGTCTGGAGCCACCGGTCTCCAAAGTCACTGGTCCCCAAAGCCACCAGTTCCTGGAGCCACCGGTCTCCAAAGCCACCAGGCCCCAAAGTCACCAGTCCCCAGAGCCGCTGGTTCCTGGAGCCACCAGTCCCCAAAGCCACTGGTCCCCAAAGCCACCGGTCCCCAAAGCCACTGGTCCCCTGGAGCTACCAGTCCCCAAAGCCACTGGTCCCCAAAGCCACCAGTTCCTGGAGCCACCAGTCCCCAAAGCCACTGGTCCCCAAAGCCACCGGTCCCCAAAGCCATTGGCTCCTGGAGCTACCACTCCCCAAAGCCACCGGTCCCCAAAGCCACTGGTTCCTGGAGCCACCAGTCCCCAAAGGCACTGGTCCCGGCGCAGGGGCTGCTCGCACATCGGGGTGCTCAAGGCGCTCGAGGAGGCCGGCATCCCCGTGGACCTCATCGGCGGCACCTCCATCGGCTCCTTCATCGGCGCCCTCTATGCCGAGGAGCGCAGCGCCGTGCGCACCAAGCAGCGGGCCCGCGAGTGGGCCAAGGTGAGCCCCGATGCACCCCAAAAACATCTGCCCCCCMAAAACACCAGGGTGTTGCTCGCAGTGTCCCCCTCTGTCCCCTCCGTTCATCCTGCAGTGCATGAACTCGGTGTTCGAGACCGTCTTGGACCTCACCTACCCCATCACCTCCATGTTCTCGGGCTCGGCCTTCAACGGCAGCATCAAGAAGGTCTTCCAGGACAAGCAGATCGAGGTGCCGGGGTGGGCGGCACCCCTCGGGACAGCTCCCAGCCATGGCGATGTCCCCACGGTGTCACCCGCCGCCTCTGTCCCCCCGCAGGACCTGTGGCTGCCCTACTTCAACGTGACCACGGACATCACGGCCTCGGCCATGCGGGTGCACACGGACGGTAAGAGCTCTCCGGGACGACCGACGATTCGCCCGTCGTGTCCCCGTCGTGCCACCACCGGCTTGGCTCACCCTGTCCAACCGGGTGCTGCACCCCAAAAGGGTGCCCCGAGCCCACCTTGCTCGTCCCCACCAAGGACGAGCCCCAGGAGGCCACGTGGGTTGGGAGCCCACCTGGCCAGGGAGCAGCTCCCTCATGGGAGCACCCGTGGGTGCGGAATTTCCTCCATCCCCGGGGGGGAAATGGGGGCCCGTGGCCACCCGCCCCGTTGGCCACACACGCATGTGTCCACCACGCATGGACCTCCTAACGTATCTGCTCACCACTAACCCCAGTAACCCGGGCGTGCCAGCGATGCCCGCGGTGGTGGCGGGTGCCCGGTGACGGGGCTGCGGTGACGGCCGGGGGGACGCGGTGGCCCCGGGGTCTTGGCAGGGTCCCCGCTCGGCGTCGCAGCTCACCTGGGACATTGAGAGCCGTCCACGGAGACGCCCGCGGTGGCCGGTAGCGCCCGCGTCCCCACGCCTGCCTGCTCGGCCGCCCTCTTAACTCCGACTAACCCCTCCACTCACCCGCTCTTAACCACCCGTGGGGACCATCCTCTTCCTCGCGAGGCCCAAGCGCCTCGTCCTGGGGCATCTCCCTGGCCCACGGAATCCCAGAATGGTTGAGGTGGGAAGGGAGTTCTAGGGATCATCCAGTCCAACCCACCTGCTCCAGCAGGCACACCCAGAGCACGTGGCACAGGGTGGCACCCAAGGTGGTTTTGGAAGATCTCCAGAGAAGGAGCCTCCACAACCTCCTTGGGCAGCCTCTTCCACAACCTCCTTGGGCAACCTCTTCCACAACCTCCTTGGGCAGCCTCTTCCAGGGCTGCGTCTCCCAAGGTGGTTTTGGAAGATYTYCAGAGAAGGAGCCTTCACAACTTCCTTGGGCAGCCTCTTCCACAACCTCCTTGGGCAGCCTCTTCCAGGGCTCCTTGGGCAGCCTCTTCCAGGGCTGTGTCTCCCAAGGTGGTTTTGGAAGATTTTCAGAGAAGGAGCCTCCACAACTTCCTTGGGCAGCCTCTTCCAAGGCTCTGTCACCCAAGGCGGGTTTGGAAGATCTCCAGAGGAGGAGCCTCCACAACCTCCTTGGGCAGCCTCTTCCGAGGCTCGGTCTCCCAAGGCGGGTTGGGAAGATCTCCAGAGAAGGAGCCTCTACAACTTCCTTGGGCAGCCTCTTCCACAACCTCCTTGGGCAGCCTCTTCCAGGGCTCCTTGGGCAGCCTCTTCCAGGGCTCCTTGGGCAGCCTCCTCCAGGGCTCCTTGGGCAGCCTCTTCCAGGGCTGTGTCTCCCAAGGTGGTTTTGGAAGATTTTCAGAGAAGGAGCCTCCACAACCTCCTTGGGCAGCCTCTTTCAAGGCTCTGTCACCCAAGGTGGTTTTGGAAGATCTCCAGGGAAGGAGCCTCCACAACCTCCTTGGGCAGCCTCTTCCAAGGCTCCTGAGGCAGCCTCTTCCAAGGCTCTATCACCCAAGGCGGGTTGGGAAGATCTCCAGAGAAGGAGCCTCCACAACCTCCTTGGGCAGCCTCTTCCAAGGCTCGGTCTCCCAAGGTGGTTTTGGAAGATCTCCAGAGAAGGAGCCTCCACAACCTCCTTGGGCAGCCTCTTCCAGGGCTCCTTGGGCAGCCTCTTCCAGGGCTCTGTCACCCAAGGTGGGTTTTGGAGATCTCCAGAGGAGGAGCCTCCACAACCTCCTTGGGCAGCCTCTTCCAAGGCTCCATCACCCAAAGCTTGACCGTAGAGAGTCGGCGGTGGGTGCTGACCCCCTTGGAGCTCCCCCACCCACTGCTGACCCTTCCCGGGCTTGCACCCGTGTCCCCGCGGCGCCCACCCCGCGCCCGTGACCCGTGTCCTCTCCGTCCGGCAGGCAGCGTGTGGCGCTCGGTGCGCGCCAGCGCCTCGTACCCCCCTTACCTGCCGCCGCTCTGCGACCCCAAGGACGGCCACTGGCTCGTGGACGGCTGCTATGTTAACAATGTCCCAGGTCAGCACCGCGCCCGCCCCGGCCACCCTCRGGTGCCGCCGGCCACCCTTGGGTGCCGCCGGCCACCTGGGGCCCCCCAAAAGACACCCCTCCACAAAAACACCCCCAAAAATCCCCCCGGCTCCGAGCTGTCCTGAGGTTCTCCTGGAGCACCCGTGTGCCCCGTCGCCGTGGGTAGGGATGGGCGCGCGCGGGGAAGGGAAGGGTGCCCGCGCTCACCCGCCGCCCCCGTTGCCGTCGGCGCAGGCTCGCTCTGGCGCTACGTGCGGGCCAGCATGACCCTCTCGGGCTACCTGCCGCCCCTCTGCGACCCCAAGGACGGCAACTTGCTCATGGACGGCGGGTACATCAACAACCTGCCAGGCAAGTGGGCGCCGCCGGGGGCGCCTCCGCGATGGTGGCACCTCCATGATGGTGGCACCTCCGCCACGGTGGCACCACCACGATGGTGACACCTCTGCGATGGTGGCACCTCCATGATGGTGGCACCTCCATGATCACGTCACCTCCGCCACGG